ATTAAATTACAAAATCTATTGAAAAAGAGACGAATTAGTTTAAATAGTAAAACAATATTTAAAATAGTTACTGTTTTTGCTGTACTGTGGATCAAATAAATGCAGGCTTTGTGAGACTTTTTTTTTAAACATTTCAATAAGGCAATCTATAAATCTACATTGAAGGAAATCATTATTTTGATAGTTTAGTACAGAGGGGAAACAGAACTGGTTTGGGACAGAACTGATAACACAGTCATTACCTGAAAGGGGGTGTGGCCATGTTTGTTTTTCATCTCCTTACTGGCTCCTCGATAAAGAAGGACCCGGACGCAGCTCTCCTGATTGGACAAAGGAGATGTCAATCAAACTACTTGGAATACAACAGGGTTATTTTTGCTCTACAGAGATATACACTTGTATTGATTTAAAATTCACTCATTATATTATAATATTATATATCATTATAAAAAAATGTTCAATTAAAATACAACAACTATCAGAAATGAATAAAAATTTTCATAACAATTGAGAAAATGCATGCTCTCATTTTTCATATTGTGTACCTGAGATTTCTTTATTTTGTATTAAGTAATTCAACAATAGTTTTATAATATTTAGCATTTATTATTTCATTTGTATTCATTTCTTTTTAACTTCAACTTGAATTTGAACTCTTATTTTTACATATTTAGGTTTCAAAACACAACACTCACAACTTGTTGAAGCGTATCATTTTAATAAATTAAACAAACAAATAATTTAACAAATTTTAAACAAACAGATAAACTTAAGCAACAAATAAACAACAAACAAACATTTAAACAAACACATAAATAACAAGCAAACTCAATTAAATAAAACTCAATTAAATTGAATAAAAATGAATACATAAGAAAATAAATAAAAAACACAAGAAATGGCATACATGAAAAAATAATACTAATAATAGCATTTAAATAAAATTAAAAAGCACTGGATAACACCATGGTCACATCTGCATTCATGGTTTACAGCTAGATCCCTAATTACCTTGTTGTAAAGGGCAGATATGTGGAGGGCAGTGTTTCCTGATGCATTCTGAGAAGTGGTGTCTGCCCCGTAGAACAGAAGATGCTCCAAATGTTGGGCAAATCCATGTTGACAAGCCTGCAATCCAACAAAACAGAGAGCTTGAAGAGCTAGAGTACATCTGACTCAATAGGGAAAGGGTAAAAAGAGCAGGGAAAAGTAGAAGAGCAGCCAGAAGAGGGCGATAAAGAGAGCAGAGAGAAAACTAACCGACTGATGATCAACATTTGTTCATCTCAGGCTTACGAATCAGCCTTTCAGGACCACGAGATATAGTTGTTTGTGTGGTAATATTTGACATGAAGTCACATATCTCTGCCCTACAGTAGTGTAAATATAAATAAATTATTATAGTTTTATTATTATTATGGTTATGTTATATGTATATTACATTATTATAGTGAATTAGAGTGAATATTATTACAGTACAGAAATATAGATTTAACTAATATAAAATTTTTTTTGGGGGGGGGGGGGGTGGGTTGGTCCCTTTTATTTAGCTTAGGAAACTTTGTATATATTTTGTTATTTTAATTAGATTTTAGATATTAAAATTTTAGTTTCAATAACTTTAATAGTAAAATTAAACTTGTTATTCATTTAAAGTTTATTTTATAATAAAATGAAATAGAAATAGCAAGAAGTTGAAGCTAAAACTTCAATAAATAAAAAAAAATATTAAAACTAACTTAAAAAGAAATATTTATTTGATTTATTTAAACAATACATTTAAAAAACAATTATTATGTTTATTTGATTTATTTTTATTTATATTTTGCTTTTTCAAATATTTTTCATAGGTCAAAAGAACACTTATCTATAATAAAAACCTTTTGTGACATTATAAATGTCTATATCATCACTTTTGACCAATTTAACGCATACCTGCTAAATAAAAATATTCATTTAGATGTTTTTGTTTACTAAATTGAAAAAAAAAACATTTTGATTTATTTAAACAATACATTTAAAAACAAGTGTATATTAACTAAAAGTTTTTTGTTATATAAAAAATTGCTTTTTAAATTTACTCTAAATTAATAATATAATTAAAATAATTAAATTTGAATAAATAAAATAAATGTAAGATAAAAAGAAAAATTCTTAATAAGTGCTGGCAACTGACTAATATATATAATGATGTTTAACAGAGCAAGGAAATTTTCACAGCATGTCTGATAATATTTTTCTTCGGGAGAAACTCTTATTTGTTTTATTTCGGCTATAATTATTTAATTTTTATTTTAAATTAAATATGATATTAAATATAATTTTTAAAAAACCCATTTTAAAGGACAAAATTATTAGCCCCTTTAAGCTAAGTTTTTTTTTCGATATTCTACAGAACAAACCATCGTTATACAATAACTTGCCTAATTACCCTAACCTGCCTAGTTAACCTAATTAACCTAGTTAAGCCTTTAAATGTCACTTTAAGCTGTATAGAAGTGTCTTGAAAAATATCTAGTAAAATATTATTTACTGTCATCATAGCAAAGATAAAATAAATCAGTTATTAGAAATAATAATAAATAATAATAAATGTGTTGAAAAAAATTTGCTCTCCGTTAAACAGAATTTGGGGAAAAAATAAACAGGGGCCTCATAATTCAGGGGGGCTAATAACTCTGACTTCAATTGTATGTATGTATGTAAGTATGTGTGTGTGTATATATATATATATATATATATATATATATATATATATATATATATATATATATATATATATATATATATATATATATATATATATATATTTTTTTTTTTTTTTTTTTTTTTTTTTAATTGTTATTATGATTTCTTATTTTCACTTCAATTAGCCAGAATTCTTTCTAGATATTCAGCATTGGTCATTACAATCCTTTTTTTGTTCACAACCTAAATCTATTTCTTTTGAACCAAACACACAAACTCAAATCACTGGCGGAAAAAAACTATTTTCCCCATTATTGCATATTTTACAAATCTCTTGGTTTTCTTCAACTTAAATTAAGACAATATCATTGGTATTTGTTTCTTTTTAAATGTGTTTATTTTAGTTCCCCTTCTTATTTACAGCAGTTTTTGCTCCATTTACCTCCTCGTATTCTCTTCAACATACGCAACAGAATTACTTTTTTGTTCCAAGAATGATATCAGAAAATGGTCGTAGGTCCTTTTAATACAAAGCTCCTTTGACTGGAACAATCGTCCTTCTTCTTTTAGATCAATAAAGACATTCAGTCTTAAATGTTATTAATATTGTTTGCAATTTAAATGCTTATTATTTATTTGTATATGAATGCACTTTTGATTATATGCTTTTATATGTGAGAGCTGTTTCAGGTGAAGTGTGCTGCTTGCTTGTTTGTTAGCTGTATGTTTATAATGATGTGATGTATTCTGTTTGGTTCATGTACTACTTAGGCACCCCCTCGAAAATGAGATGGTTCATCTCAAGGGGCTATCCCATATGTTTTTTAAATTATATTAAAATATTTTTTTAAACACCAAGAGGTCTTGAAAGGTGGAAAAAAAAGCGATTTTAATAGGTCAAGTGTTAAGCGACAGACAGACATTAGTAGACGATGAATGAAATGAGAGATGAGAGATGGTACCTGTGAACTTCCACCTCTCCAAACGCCTCTTCATGTCTGATCTATGGAGAAACACACAGAGAGACAGAGACTATGGACAGTGTCTGATGCAGAAGCACACAGACCTCGCTCTCCGTTTGCTGAAGGCATTAGTGTTCGCAACCGTGATCAGAAACATTGGTGGATCTCATTAAATCTCAAGCTCAGTTCAAGTTTGTATTTGTATCGTGCTTTTCACAATAATTATTATTTTAAAGCAGCTTTGCATTATTGCATTACTATCAAATTTGAAAAAGTTATGGTTATTAGTTACCATCGCTTCATTAGTTAATATTAATAACTTTAACTCATTAACCAGTAACTAATAGATTTACCAGTTACAGTTATTATAATACATAAGCAAAATTAACCTGCAGTTATATATTATATTGGTGTAATCTCTGTCTTTCACTGCTGTGTGCTAAACTGGGAGACTTCAACTCTACTGTAGAAAATACTGCAAGATTATTGGATAAAAACATCAGCTTTAGGATTTTACATCTGACAGTACGTCAGTCTGATCTCATTTTTCATCAGAGAGGTAATTTTTATGCACTCAGAAACAGTGTCATTATTTTTATCATTTGTATACATTTACAGTGTTTAATATTTAAATTTGTTTGACATTTTTGATTTGGATTTTAATTTTAGTGCATTATGAAATTGACAAAACATTCATTTTACTGTTGATTGTACTTTATGTGCAGTTTTATAAGCGTTTATAATAATAATAATAATAATAATTCCTTACATTTATATAGCGCTTTTCTGGGCTCTCAAAGCACTTTACACAATTTGGGGGGGTAAATCCACCACCAGTGTGCAGCATCCACCTGGATGATCAGGTTGCGCCAGACCACACACCAGCTGATTGGTGGCGAGGAGACAGAGTGATGAACCCAATTATGATATGGGAATGGTTAGGAGGCCATGATGGACCGAGGCCAATGGGCAAATTTGGCCAGGATGCCGGGGTGAAACCCCTACTTTTTTCCATGAACATCCTTGGATTTTTAACGACCACAGAGAGTTGGGACCTTGGTTAAACGTCTCATCCAAAAGACGGCGCTCACTGATCAGTGTAGCGTCCCCGTCACTATACTGGGGCTTTAGGACCCACACAGACCGCAGGTTGAGCACCCCCTGCTGGCCTCACTAACACCACTTCCGGCAACAACCAAGCTTTCCCATATGGTCTCCCATACCTGCTTAGCTTCAGTGGGCGACCATGTGAGAGTGGCAGAGAGCTAGCTGCCGATCAGAGTTAAATATGTAAAATATAGGTTTTGGGTGGCACTGTGGCTCAGTCGTTAGCACTGTCGCCTCAGAAAGAAGGTCGCTGGATTGAGCCTCGGCTGGACCAGTTGGCATTTCTGTGTGAAGTTTGCATGTTCTCCCCGTGTTGGTGTGGGTTTCCTCTGGGTGCTCTGGATTCCCCCACAGTCTAAAGACAATGCACTAATTGGTTAATTGGGTATGCCATTTTGTCCGTAGTGTTAGTCTCTCTGAAATAGAAACTAAGCCAAAGGAAAATGAATGAATACGGGTTTTTATTTTCTGTATGATTTCAAAAGATTTTTTTAGATTAATTCACATACTTTACGTATATCAGCCATTTAAAGGTATTTAGGTCAGCAGTGCCAACTTTCATTTACTTAAAAAACACACACACACAGACATGTATTTACAGCATACATTTATAAATAACTTTAAATATTTCCTTTAGTTTTTTTTTTTTTACAATAATTGTAGTACTTTTTATTTCATTTTTATTACAATTTTTGATTATTTAATTCAGCTAGTTGCCAAGACTAACTGACTGACTAACTTTTTTTAGTTTTTCCTAAAAAAAAACAACCAGTTATCCATAATTAATCTGTTTGTTTGGATTGTACAATACTGATTACATGTTTGATCAATGCCTGTCAACTTCAAAACAGTGGAGAAAGAATTTCTCAATACACGCCTAAATTGCATTGAGCACTTGTTTATAATTTTGGTGTGTAATGATGTTAGAGGTCAAAGATTGAAAATGTCTTCAACAGAGGATAAACACAGTCTAGTTGCTAATGAACAGACACTCACTGATGACCATGAAACATGAGAGACTGACAGCAAAGTGTTCAAGCATCATTGTTCAAACACTGAATAATTTGTTATAAATACAAACAAACAAACAAAATCTACATATGATTGGCTGTTTTAGCCATCTATTATAGCAAATCAACTAATATACAGTTGAGGGCAAAAGTATTCGCCCTCCTGTGCAATATTTATTCTTTTTCAAAATAGTGATGTTTAACAGAGCAAGGAATTTTTCACATTATTTCCTATAATATTTTTTCTTTTAGAGAAAGTCTTATTTGTTTTATTTCGATGAGAATAAAAGCAGTTCTTAATTTTTTAAAACACATTTTAAGGTCAATATTATCAGCCTCCTTAAGCTATATTTGTTTGAATGGTCTACAGAACAAACCATCGTTATACACTGACTTGCCTAATTAACCCAATTAACCTAGTTAAGCCTTTAAATGTCACTTTAAGCTGAATACTAGTATCTTGAACAAAATCTAGTCAAATATTATGTGCTGTCATCATGGCAAAGATAAAATAAATCAGTTATTAAAACTATTATGATTACAAATGTTCTGTCTGTTAAACAGAAATTGGGGAAATTTTAAACAATTAAAATTTAACAGGAGGGCTAATAATTCTGACTTATTATAAATATTGCCAACACAATCTGACTTTAGAAATATAAAAGATGGGTGGACTTCACGTAAACATTTAGCAATTACATAAGAAACTAAAAGGTAACCAAAGGTTAATTAGAGAGTGATGCATGAACCTAAAAAAACAAAACAACACTGAAACAATCACAAGCATGAACACAAAAACACACACATAGATAGAATGTCCTCATGTTTCACACACCTGGTGTGACTCATCCCAGCCATTCTCATCTCGGATGCCCAGTCGAGCTCTGTAGTACAGCAGGGTTTCACAGCAGGACGTGTCGCCCCCTGTCAGCACCGAATGGTATAGCGGCGTCAGCCCACAACGGTCGCGATAATCCGGAGATGCGCCCAAAGACAGCAGTGCCTGAAACACAGGACATATCAACATGCAAAGGCAATCCTCAGTAGAGATGCACTGATCAATATTTTGCATTAACCACCATCAATTTATATGAGAAACAAAAGGATGAAGAAAACACTCAAAAAATATATAGCAGTTATTAAAAAGCTTGTATTGGGATGAAGAATATTTCAAATATTTGAGAAATAAATAACCCAAAAATGTTATTCACCTCTTAATTTACTCTATGTAAGTGTATCCTTAATGATTTTTAACATGTACAGGATGTCAATAACAACCATCACATAAGGAGTTATGTTAAAGACCATGCAAAATGATTTCCCGTGGCTTACAATGATGTGCTGAGATCTAATGAAGCAAAACAATTATTTACAGCATTAATCAAAATTTGGAAAGACTAAGGGCTCTATTTTGACGGTCCATGCGCAGAGCGCTTTCAGGGCGTGTCAGGACGCGTTTTTGCTAATTTAAGGACAGGAAAATCCGCTTTGCGCCGTGGCGCATGGTCTAAAAGAGTTGAGTTTATTTTCTTACTGAGTTATAGGTGTGTTTTGAGAATAAACCAATTAGAGTCTCATCTCCTATTCCCTTTAAGAGCCAGCTGCGTCGCGCCAAGAGCACATTCGCTATTTACAGGACGCAAAGTAAGTCAAAGTGGAAAAACTGAGCATTTCACAAGCAAACAGTTAACAGTTTTTTTTAACAGAAAACTGTTAAACAGAGCATCTACTGCTCAAGAATGAGAGATATCCGATCTACTTTCACTTTTGGATAGGGAAACCTTTACGCACAGACATCAATTAGTCTATAAATAATTGTGCTTAATACACACAAGAGAGCAATAGGCAAATATCTTTACATATGAAAAAATTTTAATATTAAGGATATATATAGGATATAATAAGAATAGATATAGGATATAAATATAAAGGATTAAAATATTACAAAACATATTATTTTCTAGCCTACATAAATATGAAAAACCACTGCTTTTATGTCTTCTTCATCTCGGGAGGCTTTTTCAGTTTCATTCATAACAATTTGCTTTTGTATAATGTTATTATTATTATCAGTATTATTTAATATATCCATATTTATATTTGTTTTATTAAAAACAAGCTTAGATTTGCCCACCTGTCAGGTTTTAGACCATATGGGGCACAGCATGTGTTTTAGGATATAACTTATATATCCTATAAGGTTATAAGGTTATATAAGGTTTTTGAGCACACTTCGTTATTATTATTCATTTATTTGTTTGCCGGAAATTAGAACTGAATTTAGAAATAGTTTTGAAACAAATGTTTGCGCTTAACAAACAAAATTATTTATTTATAGACTAATTGATGTCTGTGCGTAAAGGTTTCCCTATCCAAGAGCGAAAGTGAAAGTAGTTCCATTATCTCTCATTCTCACGCTGTAGATGCTCTGTTTAACAGTTTTCTGTTAAAAAAAACTGTTAACTGTTTGCTTGTGAAATGCTCATTTTTTCCACTTAGACTTACTTTGCGTCCTGTAAATAGCAAATGCGCTCTTGGCGCGACGCAGCTGACTCTTAAAGGGAATGGGAGACGAGACTCTGATTGGTTTATTCTTAAAACACATCTATAACTCATTAAGAAAATAAACTCAACCCTTTTAGACCATGTGCCACGGCGCAAAGCAGATTTTCCCGTCCTTAAATTAGCAAAAACGCGTCCTGACACGCCCTGAAAGCGTTTGCGGCCTGCGTTTTGCGCTCTGCACATGGACCGTCAAAATAGAGCCCAAAGAGTCAGGACCTCGGTTTAACGTCTCATCCGAAAGATAACCGCCAATTTTAAAACCGCCAATATTTTCTGTTTCTGTTATTTTTCTGTTATTTATTTATTTAAACATGTTTTTCACAACTATTTTATTTAGTTTTTTAGTACATCAGTATCTCCAGCAGAAAATAAACCTACATCAAATGCTAGTGGTCCAAAATATTTTAAATGTTTCTTAAAATAAAACATATTGGAAAAAAAGTTGTTGTTTACCCTGACATTTAAAAAGAACTTATTTTGGAGAAGTAATTTCATTCATTCATTCATTTTCTTGTCGGCTTAGTGCCTTTATTAATCCAGGGTCACCAAAGCGGAATGAACCGTCAACTTATCCAGCAAGTTTTTAAGCAGCGGATGCCCTTCCAGCCGCAACCCATCTCTGGGAAACATCCACACTCATACACTACGGACAATTTAGCCAACCAAATTCACCTGTACCGCATGTCTTTGGACTGTGGGGGAAACCGGAGCACCCGGAGGAAACCCACGCGAAGGCAGGGAGAACATGCAAACTCCTCACAGAAACACCAACTGAGCCGAGGTTCGAACCAGCGACCTTCTTGCTGAGAGGCGACAGCACTACCTACTGCGCCACTGCCTCACCAAAAGTAATTACAATACCGTAATATTTTTATCCAAGGTTTTCACACCATCAGAATCTTATACCAGCCCATGCCTAACACCGATATTCGGACAATCGATCAGACCATCCCTGTTGTTGAAATTTTCATTCATTTTCTTGTCGGCTTAGTCACTTTATTAATCCGGGGTCACCAGAGTGGAATGAACCGCCAAATTATCCAGCAAATTTTTAAGCAGCGGATGCCCTTCCAGCCGCAACCCATATCTGGGAAACATCCACACACACACACACACACTCATAAACTATGGACATTTTAGCCTGACCAATTCACCTGTACCGCATGTCTTTGGACTGTGGGGGAAACCGGAGCACCCGGAGGAAACCCACGCGAAGGCAGGGAGAACATGCAAACTCCACACAGAAACGCCAACTGAGCCGAGGTTCGAACCAGCAACCCAGTGACCTTCTTGCTGTAAGGCAACAGCACTACCTACTGCGCCACTGCCTCACGTGTTGACAATTTATGAATCTTTAATCTTCTAATTTTAGAGTTTACTTTAAGTTTTTTTTTTTTTTTTGTATGTTTTCAAAGCCTTGTCTTGCACCTGAAAAATGCTGCCCTAGTTTGATCTATGAAAAGAAGTGCATGTGTTGGTACCATGAGTGCGGCCTGGTTGTGTGCTCTGACTGCTTTATGGAGGGGTGTAAATCCATCTCTGGATCTGAAATCCACGTGAGCTCCGTTCAGCACCAGAACACGAATCCCTTCCACGCTGAGATTCCCCTGAACCGCCAGAGTCAAGGGAGTCTCTGAGAAACAGATGCAGACACTGTCATTACAGATGCAGAAGTGCAGTTTTAAAGGGACGGTTCACCCCAAAATGAGAATTTACTCATAATTTACTCTCAATTGGTTCCAAGCCTTATGGGTTTATCAATTCTGTTTAATATAAAATGAGATACTATAAAGAAAAAGCTGAAAGCCGGTAGCATTGACATTCATAGTGGGGAAAAAATACAGTGGAGGTCAATGGTTTCCAGCTTTCTTCAAAATATCTTCTTTTGTTTGCATAACTTAAAGGTTAGATAAAGACATAAAGGTTTGAGACAATTAAAGGGAGAGTAAATAATGGCAGAGTATTCAGTTCTGGGTAGACTATCTATTTAAAGCAGAACAGGAAACATACTAAGTGTTAAAATGCCACGCACAGAAGAAAACATTTAGTGCCAAAACACACCCTGTTCAGAGACTGCAGGTCTAACATCTGTTGAAATGTGGTAGAACAGAAACTGAAATAGCTTAATAGCGTCAAAGTAATTAAAAAAGCATTTTATACATTTGAATGATAGTAATAAAATAAAAGCTGAGCGCATTTCTGGATTGTGTTGTAGCTTTGCATTAAAACAAACATACACTCACCGGCCACTTTATTAGGTACACCTGTCCAACTACAGTTCATACTGAGCATCAGAATGGAGAAGAAAAGTAATTTAAGTGACTGAATGTGGTATGGTTGTTGCTGCCAGTCTGAGTATTTCAGAAACCGCTGATCTGCTGGGATTTTCATGCACAACCATCTCTGTGGCAGTTCTGTGGGCGCAAATGCCTTGTTGATGCCAGAGGTCAGAGGAGAATAGCCAGACTGGTTCCAGCTATAGAAAGGCAACAGTAACTCAAATAAGCACTCGCTATAACCGAGGCCTGCAGAAGAGCATCTCTGAACACACAACACAAACAACCTTGAGGCAGATGGGCTACAGCAGCAAAAGACCCCACCGGGTGCCGCTCCTGTCAGCTAAGAACAGGAAACTGAGGCTACAATTCACACAGGCTCACCAAAACTGGACAATAGAAGATTGGAGGAACATTGCCTGCTCTGATGAGTCTCCATTTCTGCTGCCACATTCGGATGGTCGGGTCAGAATTTGGTGTCAACAACATGAAAGCATGGATCCATCGTGGCTTGTCTCAACAGTTCAGGCTAGTGGTGGTGGTGGTGTAAGGGTGTGGGGAACATTTTCTTGGCACACTTTGTGCCCAATAGTACCAATTGAGCATCATGTCAACGCCACAGCCTACCTGAGTATTGCTGCTGACCATGTCCATCCCTTTATGACCACAATGTACCCATCTTCTAACGGCTACTTCCAGCAGGATAACGCACCATGTCATAAAGCGTGAATCATCTCAGACTGGTTTTTTGAACATGACAATAAGTTCATTGTACTCAAATGGCCTCCACAGTCACCAGAGCTCAATCCAATAGAACACTTTTGGGATGTGGTGGAACGGGAGATTCACATCATGGATGTGCAGCCGACAAATCTGCAGCAACTGTGTGATGCTATCATGTCACTATGGAGCAAAATCTCTGAGGAATATTTCCAGTACCTTGTTGAATCTACGCCACGAAGGATTAAAGCAGTTCTGAAGGGAAAAGAGGGCCCAAACCGATACTAGTAAGGTGTACCTAATAAAGTGGCCAGTGAATGTATACTCAATAAAATAAAAAAAAACATTCTTATTTTACATAGAAAACATATATACATACATACATACATACATACATACATATATATATATATATATATATACATATATATATATACATATATATACATATATATATTTCATTTTAATTAACCTACTTAACCTTTTAAGTTACACTTTGTTGAATATTATCTTAAATAGTAAAATAGTATGCACTTACATCATGACAAAGACAAAATAAATTAGTTATTTGAAATTATTTTTTAGACTGTTACAATTACAAAATGTGCAAAAATTAAGCAGCACTAAGGGAACATTTGAAAACACAATAAACACCACGTCTGTGTGGATACAAATATCACTGCTCAAGAAAATAAAGGGAACACTTAAACATTCATTCATTTTCCTTCAGCTTAGTCCATTATTTATCTGGGGTCACCACAGCGGAATGAACCGCCAACTATTCAGGCATGCCGGTTTTACAGAGCGGATGCCCTTCCCAGTTCTGGGAAACACTCACACATGCTCATTCACACACACACTCATACACTATGGCTAATTTAGTTCATCCTATTCACCTATAGTGCATGTGTTTAGACTGTGGGGGAAACCGGAGCACCTGGAGTGAACCCACGGCAACACAGGGAGAACATGCAGACTCCACACAGAAATGACAACTGGCCCAGCCAGGACTCAAACCAGCGACCTTCTTGCTATAAGGCCACAGTGCTAAACACTGAGCCACTGTGACGCCCACTGTAACACTAAGCATTCCTCTTTTGTTTTAACAGTATATATTTACCATCATACTTTCATTCATCATTATCGTGTTTGGTGTGAACGGCCCTTTACTA